GCCTGACCCTCACAGGGCACACAGTACGAAGTGGAGCGGATGGCAAAAGGACTTGCATTACCTACAACAGATATAAGCACACAGAGGATCAAAGATGGGATGCAGGTTTTAAGTAATGGTGATGCACTGGTGAATATGCCATCTGCAACCAGAGTGCTGGATAAAATAAATTTAGGAATACAGACAGTTTTGTGTGTGTTCACCTCTGTCCTCTACGATATAGGAAGTAGTTGCCAATGGAGGAAGCCTGGAAAAAGGCTCAGAGGTAAAAACCTTCCCCTCCCACTCAGCCTTGTCTTCCGTCATCACCTTCACCTAAGGCCAAGAGAGAAACAAGAGGTGGAAGCAAGAATATGTTAACATTTCAGAGGAAAGACATATACGTGTAAATGCATGGAATTAAGGATAAATACTAAGCTGCAAAAGAAACAAGCAGAAATGGTTAACGATACTTTACATTAATGGACATTAGACATATTAGAGAGAACATGCATCGTCCTTCAGACTAAAAGCCTGAGAGAAGTTCAAGAGAAAATTGTTCTTCACTTTAAAGGAGCGGACAGGAGTTAGTTAGGAAAAGACAGAAAGGTAAGAGGATAAAAGAACTTACAGCGCTAGGCAGGAGCTCTGGGTCCAGACCATAACGAGATTCAGAGTTATGAGACTGCAGAGAGGAAAGGTAAAAGCTCATTCTCACAGCTAAGATGACACACGGGTGATAACAGAGTCAACACGAGCTGATGTTCAACCTATTTTCTGATTCTGAAAGAATAAAGGTTCCTCAGTTTTACAGCAGAGTAAACACACATGAAGAAGTTAGCTTATAATGTTAGAAACTTATAAACAACTTCCTTAAATTTATGGGGTTCTAAAGACTAAGAAATTATTTCGCTATAAATTATTAGAATTATATATTTGCATATTTAATATTAGATGTTTCCTCACCTGAGGTGTGAAGCTTTTGACCTGTGCAGCTGCAGTGGGAACAAACTGGTTTATGTTTTCTGGGGAGAAAGGGGAGATCCAGAATAGTAATAAGTGGTCTATTTTTATTCACACTACAGCACATGACATCTGATTAATAATAAATGAACTCACCTCCAGAGTGTGCTGGAAGTGTCCACTGAGGCTGCTGTTGGATGGGAGAGGTGGGCGAGGCATGATTGTGAGTAAATACTGCAGATGATCTGGCATTTGCTCCCTCAAATCCAGGCTGAGGTATACACTGTGGACTCTCGTTTCCATATAATGGAGGCCTAATGGGCAAATGATTTTGATGTGGTGAC